TTAGGTAATTTGGAGGTGCCTAGGGGCAAAATACCAAGTTAAGCATTTCACATAGAATTGGATAGGTATCCATTCTAAATGAACCAGGGATTAATACATTGTGAAGATATGGTGTATCCTAGTTCCAGGGTCAACCCTAAAGCCAAGTAATCCTATAGGGACTCTTCTTGAATTCTCTTATAATGATCTTACCTACTAAATGCTAGAGGTTAAGATCAATATGTGGAATTTCAAGCTGAGTAAAAAGAAGAGTTTTGAATTTCTAATGGTGGGGTACCTCTTCTAATTTTCTAAGACTAGTCAATAGGAAAGTCCTATGGCTAGACCTAGGCTATTAAAGAAGTTTCTAGACCTCAACCAAAAGTGAGGTCAACAACTACTAAAATTCTCTACTGCTCTACTAGCATGCCCATCTCTTCAAATAAATTTTTTTCTAGAGGTATCGTTTGTATTCATTTTTTTTGGTCATTCTAAAATTTTTCTTTTAAACATATATCCAAACTACTTGGGGAGTATAAATACTTATAACTTTAATAATTCTTGTATCACATAAATCTTTAAAGCTATAATTATATCTTTAATTATATTAATTATTAGAACATTATCTTTCAAACTTATATATATAATTTCAACAAAATTTTTAGTACTCCAATTTGAATACCAAAGTTCAAAACCCAAGTTATTAATCTTCTTAGTCTTTGTTCCAACACACATAGTTTCTTGTTAATTAATATACCTATCTTTTTATGAATCATAATATCTACTAATTCCATCAATTTACTTATGTGAGTGCTTATATTTTATGTTTATATTACAATATTAGCTTCATAAACTAACGTTCTTATCCACATATATTCATAATATGAAATCCTTTCTTATTTAACATTACATCAAGTGCTAATGCAGCGAACACTACACATTTTTAACAGTATATAGTTATCTATATTTCACCCCAAAGACATACTCGAACAATGACATAATAATTTAAAATATCGACGTTATAATTTTTTGAAAAAAAAAATTTATCCTGACCAACACAAATCTTCAATTTTCACAAAAGGATTATGGAAGAGCTGACACCTGACATAAATAAATAAAAAAGTATATATATATATATATATATATATATATATATCACTAATAGGGAGAACTTTGCTTCAAGAAATAAAAACCCAAGCTTTGCAGCGATTCTTTCTTGATATTCATGGTTGCTGTTGAGGGTAGGAACAGCTAGAAGCCTCCTGCTTCGTCCCAAATCTGCAGGTACTCAACAGCCATGTCCGCCTCACGGAAACAATCCAGGGTATGTTGCGCTATCTCTAGCCTATGTCTTCTACATGTCATTACTGTTGACGTTCGCGCGCCTCTCAGGTATCTCTCCGTGGTGCCAGCGCAAGCGAAATCTCCCGGGATGCCCTTCTCGAGAAGGTAGCCCACGAGCGCAAGCATCGCAGCTTCACTCGCCGTGCCTCCGCTGCCGCTCTCTTCATCCAGGTGCTCACTCCCTCCCTTTTCCTATCTCCCGAATGATGCTGCTATTGCCTTTTGGCTATTGTTTGGGGCTCGCATCTTTCATGGATATACTGCATTGATTTGTCTTCGATATACATACCTGCCATCTAAACTTTAAAGAGAAATTGCGATCTAATATGTTTTGTTGTCTGCTGCATATTGTTCCTTTAGCTTGATCGGCACCTCACTTTTGCAAACTTACCCTTTAACGCTTTTGTACGACAACGATTTTTTGTTATTTTCGATCTGCATGCGACTCCAGTAATTCTCATATGCTCTCGTGCTCTTTAATGTCCTCCTTCGCCTTCTTCCTTCCATTTCTCCTTCGCCTTTTTCCTTGTCTGTCTTTTCTCTACCTCCTTTGTCACTGAAGGGGTTAGTCATCACTTGGCTTACCACTAGGTGTTTAGTTCCTCCGGGTATGTCTTCCCTCCACCACTTTTTTTTTCCTTCTATCTGATTCCTTCTCGTCTTTTGTTTTTATCGTCCTTCTCAGTGGTGAGAAGGAAGACGTTTTCCTCTGCATGCTTAACCTAGTCTTTGAGGCTTCTGCATTTAGTCTTGAATTATGAAACCTAGAACCAAGCTTACATATTCTATATCATTTATGATCCCTGGGATCTCCATGAAAGACACCACTTGGATCTTGAATTGTTTGTGGGCTGAACATATTCTTTTGGACATATTCATCATATTTCTTCCAATTTGGTGTCTTGTGGTGTATATGCATGCACACATTCATACATAAATGCTAAACTTCTTATCTTGTAACACTATTGGTTTCAAAGTGACATTTGGCTAGGGGAAGAAACCCTTGATTGTTGAGAGTTTAGAATACCTAGATAAGTCTTCGAATGGTAGGAATTCCAGAAAGCAAGTTTGATAACAAATCCTCTCTTAGGTCTGATGACCGCCGAGGTTGAATTGCGCTTCAGTACATAATATAATTTTGAAAAGTGAATGAGTATCAAGTTTCTCAAGTAACAAGAGATAATAGGCGAAAGCTAGTGCTGAATTTCAATTCCTTCAATGTCATCGATGTCGTGACTAATTTTGTTCAGAGCAGTACTTGAATTCTCATTAACAACTTTTGGAAGAAGTTTTGTAGGGATACGAGTGCTCGTAATAAAGAAAAAAAATTCTAACTCTACAAAAAGAAGCCGAAAGTAAAAAAGTTAGCATTTATTGTGAAAAACATATTTGAACAATAGTTGTATAAGGAAAATTCCTTAGACATACTTTTTAGTCATGGTACCTAGCTTTTTCATTAGCTCGTGTTGGGGTGACATCATATTTTTTTTCCATTTTTATTCTTTGTTAAAAACAAATTCTTTCAATTTTCCCTCTTTAATGAGTTATTGAACTAGTTCATAAAGATATTGACAATCCTCCATATGTTGATCATGTACTTAATGAAAAAGCATAATATTTATTGTATCTTGAATTTCCAATTATAAATATAATGGAGCTGATCAACGAAAACATGTTTTTTAATCTTTGATCGTGTTGACTAACTCAACTTAGGAGATTTACTTAGGAGCAGGGATGATTGCTCTGGTGGCTACTAGCAATTTATTTTCTTCTTGTCAATGTATCATATACTTTCTCTCTTCAGTTTGTTGTTCAAGCTGATGATGTGGTGCTTACCTTATCTCTGATTCACGGGCACTGATGCCAATGCGAGTTCTATTCTGATTGGTGGGCATCGATTTTATTTATCTACAATTTTATGATTATTTGCTAGTTTGAGGATTATTTGCCAGCATTCTGATTGTTTTAGTCATATCTTGTACTTGATTGCTCTGGTGGCTACTAACAATTTATTTTCTTGTTGTCAATGTATCATATACTTTCTTTCTTCATTTTGTTGTTCAAGCTGATGATGTGGTGCTTGCCTTGCGCTATGTCGTGTTTGGTTATATGTTAGTTAAATTGAAGTTACCTTATCTTTGATTCACGAACATTGATGCTAATGGGAGTTCTATTCTGATTGGTGGGCATCGATTTTATTCATCTACAATTTTATGATTATTTGCTAGTTTCGGGATTATTCGCCAGCTTTCTGATTGTTTTAGTCCTACCTTGTACTTGAATGATCATTGTTTCAACCATTGAGTTAGCATGGTAAGGGCGACTGCTGCTTCTAGGTCATTCACTTTTTATATCTTCTGCCGGAAGCAAGTGGTAAATCTTCACAATGACTCCTTAGTGACGTGGGGCTTGGGGGAGGACTGATCGGTCCCCAAGGGAGGGGGGCTGCCACCCCCTCCTTCCCTTTTCCTTTCTTTCCCCTTTCCTTTTCTTCTTTCTGCTTCCTTCCTCACCTCTCCTTTCTCTCTCCCCTCAACCTTTCTTTCCCAAGAACTTTCCTATTCTCCATTCTTATTTTGAATCCTTTCTTATTTTAAATCCTTTCTTATTTTAAATTCTTTCCTATTTTAAATCCTTTCATAAAATCTAAAAACTAGATTATATTTTATTCGCCTTCCTTAGTTTTATTACCTAAAATAAGTATAACCTCTTTATACATATGCGATGATGTGCTTAAAGTTAGAGGTCTTGTTTTGATATCTAAATTCAAGTTTTAGCCTTGATATTTTCCCTTTAAGGGTTGTATCCGACATCAAGGTAGTGCTCCGCCTGTCCCTCATCTGAGGTGGTGATCGTCTCCACGGGTCCGGGTGGTGCTTCGGTTGTATCTTGACCCTGCCGAGATATTTATCTATTATTCCATTCTTACCGCTGCTGCTTCCTTACTCCAACACCCTCAACAACTTCCAAACTCCCCCTTGCACCCTTGCAGGCTATCGAACCAACCTCAAACAATGTTTCTGCTTCTCTCCAGCTACTATTCGACGCCGTTGCTATTGCCAACTTGTCCTACTTTTTCCACAACAACCCCCACCTATTCGGCCTTCACCGCAACCGCCAATCCAACCCCTCTTGCCCGACTCCCTTCTCATAAGCGTGTTGTGTCTTCTTTGTAAAGTCATTAGTTGTAATCTCTTGTTTTTTGCTTTTGCTTTGTGTGTTATGTTTCATTATTTCGATTTTTCATTGTAACTGGGTTTTAAGTCAGTAATGGAATTGTGTCTTGCGTCGTAGTTTAAATTAACTCCGGTATCATTTGATATTAAAATTAGCCCAACCCTAGTCCCATCTTAGGGTTTCTGGCATCTACGCCTACCCATTCCATCACACCAAATTTTTTTTCTTTTATTTATTTTTCTCTTCCTTCTTTGTTCCTTTTTTTTCCTTCCACAGATCCAAAACTGTCAATCATGCCGCCAAGGAAAAATATGTCCGAGACTATCAGAGAAAAAATACAGCGTGCGCTCCGTCGCCTCCAAGAGAGGCTTATGGATATTGAAGAGAAAATCTAGTGAGAGGTTACCTTTGATCGTGATCTGGAAGGTCAAAGAGAAGAACAAGAAAATATAAAGATGAAGCAGAAACACAACGTCAGTTCTTGCCAACTTGCTACCACCAAAAGTTATAGAATCTTGTTTCTAAAGAGGAGAAAGCGACCCCCTTGCTACTATAAAACCAAACCAATTTGCAAGTCTGTCATAACAAAAAAATATTGCAATTGCCATAGATTTAAACATGTGGAAGCAAAATGCACAATCGGGGGAATGATCTATTTTACGGAGCATTGCGTTGTTGAAACCTTGGGTAAGGACACCATCGACGTTGAAGAGCAGTTTGAATGAAAGTTTTTATCTGTTGTCATCTTTCCAGGCTGAACTCCTTTATTTGTGGATACATCGGATGTCTTTTTTCTATGTGATAAACCATAACACGTGAAATTTGATGATATTGTGATTCCTACTCTCCCAGATGATGAAGAACTTATTGTTGAGACATACAAAATTCACACATATCAGACGATGTTAGAATTTAAAATTTCAATGGGTAAGGACACCATCGACGCTGAAGAGCAGTTTGAACGAAAGTTTTTATCTGTTGTCATCTTTCCAGGGTGAACTCCTTTATTCGTGGATACATCCGATGTCTTTTTTCTATGTGATAAACCATAACACGTGAAATTTGATGATATTGTGATTCCTACTCTCCCAGATGATGAAGAACTTATTGTTGAGACATACAAAATTCACACATATCAGACGATGTTAGAATTTAAAATTTCAGTTGGTGGTCTTAGTAACAACCAACTGATAGCATCACAGACGGTTGCACTTCCATGTCTCATCCTCATTGTTCCACATGAAGAGACGAAAGGTCAGGATGAAGCTTTTGTTATTGGAACGAAGCGGAATGTGTCAGTTTTCCAAAACTTCAATAATCAGAGGGAAGACCCAGAAGATAATAAGAACCACCCATCATCCAAACTCTTGCAAACCGTTAAACCCGCTGAGGCCCAACCTGTCATAGATGAGAAACATATGAGATATTTACTTGTTCAGAATTTGGCTCGGGAGAGCCTACGTGTATGTGTACTTTTGGCTCAAATTATGCCAAACCAGAATAAATCGACAGGGAGGTATGCTCGATTGACTTCATGATAGCTTGTTGTTAGTTACTATAATGAACTAAGCTCTTTACTAGGTATCTCGTGATAATTTTTCTTTCATGATCTTAGGTAATTGTATATTTATATTGTTAATTTTTTTTGTTATATTTTGCTTTCATGTTATTTCAATATAAGATGAGGCTTCGGGGTGATTTTTTATCAAACTAAAGGCCTTCTTTTTTCATATTACTCTCTTGCCTAAGCAGTGTGTTGAGTTCCTTTCTTGTTTGCTTGGTTTTGAATCATCTTTAATTCTTTGCTATCCTTTCCCTTCTGAAATTCTTTGATGCAGTTTTTTTGTATTTCTATGATTCAATACATGGAGACTTTTCTGCTACAATAACACCCAAACTTTCCTTCACTATAAATCCTTTATCTTGCATAGTTTATGGTGTTAAAACTTAACTATTTTGCTATAAAGTCTGTGTCACACCCCGAGTATGGAGGG